AATTAAATAGTTCCTCTCGTAGGCTAGTGTTCCAGTGACTTGCACATAAGATGACCACGTTGCAGAGCATCGGTGGGTCGAAGTGTCATTCCTCTTCTTACGAAGATTTAATGACAGCGTCTCCTGGAATGTTGATGGTTTTAAGGTAGCGACTACGTGACGACTGGGAATGCAGTCGCTAACTTACCGATGGGAATGTCGAGGACAAGGCTCAACTGTGCCAGACGACAGCGCAGAGCACATTACTTTGCTTAAATTGGGGTCCCTTCCATTTTCACATGCTGTCATCTCAACCAACAACATGGTCAGCAAGGCTGACTACTGTCATCTAGCTCCTCTTTATGCCAGTGGTTATGTCCCATGGTGGCACAGCTTATGCAAACCTCAAGAGGACGCAGCCTGACTAGACGCAGCTAGTCAGGTCACGCCACATCATATCTGAATCTAACTTCCAAATTCAAAGCCCTGACTTCCAAATTTTTACGTTTGCTGTTTCTGTTCTTCAAGACCCACCTACATCCAACTCGACACTTTTTTTGCCAAAAAATGTCATGTGCGTCAGCTCCCATCACCCCTGTGTTTTCGAACAGACACTTATGACGACAGCAACCTGGTTGGAAACAGATGTCTTTGTTGCCAAAGTGAGAGGATGCGACTGTCGGCTGACTGACTGCCACCTAAATGCTGTTGGGGGCATGCGGCGGTCAGCCTCCTTGCCCTGTGCATTCACAGGGCTTTCTCTTAGTTGGCCTCGATCCAACAAGGCTTGTTGGAGAGCACATTGGAGCGTGGAAGTCCATCTGTGTCTGACATTGGCAAATCAGGGGAAATCAGGGAAAGTGGAGGGAGGGGGAGGGGGGAAATCGGGGAGTCGAACAAGAGCGCCAGATTCCAGACGTTCCAGAAGGATTGATATAGCAATTTGCCTTCCCAACAGCCGACATGGGAGAGTTGTCTGGCACTACAGATATCCACAACAATTTATTTACTGAGTTGGAGAAGGTGTCACAGTTTACGTGAGAGTTCAACCAACCCATCCTCCAGTGAATTTAATCATCTTTACGCCAGAGCTGATGGAAGTGGACTACGAGCGCGTCGTCAAGTAGATGAAGCAGCAGTGTGACAACTGCAAATTTCCACCTCTGCAATTAGAAAGAAGGGAAGGAGGCGAAAATAAGTTTGAAGGAATGAGGAAGATGTACTTATACAAATACCTGATTTGCCTGTTTTCGTTCGTTGGCACCGTCTGGAGAGGAAGAATTAGGCGTGAACAATTAAGTGTGCACACTCCTCGCCACCTAGCCAACTTATCTGCTATAGGCGGCATCCTCTTTGGGACCTAAAATGAACTCCACACGAAGACGTCTTTGCAAGTCGTGTCAGCCACAACCACTACAGGAATGTCTGCTTTCGCAATCACTTGTAACCAGTCACGCATTTTCCCACCATACACCTTATGCAACAAGTTGGTCATTCATCGTAGGAACGCTGACTTGACAACAAGAATTTGACACACAAATATTTGGTTTTCATTGCTTTCTATGAGGCGACGAGGGTTCGCTTTAAGTGTGTAGCTTCCAAACACGAGACCAAAGCATTTCGGAAACACGACAGGCCATCAGACATCAAATGAAGGAGGCTAGAATTGCTCAACCGACCTGTTGGAGCAGGACAACCGTGTGTAGATAAAACATATTTGTGCCATCCTCTGAATTGCTCATCTCCGAGTCAGCCCTGTAGGTGTCAAAGAAGTAGGAATAACTCGAAGTTAGGTACACACCACTCTGGGAGCAGTATTAGTCTCTGGTGCAGCTTCACGAGAAGTTATGTCCCGAATGCTCCAAGACCGTATGGTGTACAAAGTGGGGCATACACTGTAATCAGTGGAGCCGACCTTCGGTTTTATGTGCTTGTAGCTTTGGCATCGCTTCTGACAGGACTTAAACCATACAGGTACAGGTTAGCTCAGTGCCTGATGTGGCAGCCAACATGTGTGGCGTGTAGCTCCCATAGCTCAAATAATGAGGTGATGGGGAGATCTTTGGGTTCTCTCTCATATTCCTGAACGATGATGTGTAGGGGTGCAAAATCACCTTCCTTTCCGTCTCCACTCATTCTCATTTTCGAATGCGGTAGAGCAATGATGACCGCTCTGCTGGCAAACAAGACTAAGGCTTCCTCCTTTCCATCCTTTTGAGTAGCAAGCATATAGTCAGAGCCCTTCCTTCAAGCGTGTTCTGCCGACGGAACCTCAGTTTTCAGGAGTTAGGAGACAAATTCACGGAGGCCACATAGTAAGCAGGCTGTGCTTGGAGGCGGTTGGAAGCGATCAAGCAAGCGCGTTGGTAAACAATCGTGTTGAGTGTGGTTGGATGACGTTTGGGAAAGGCCACCATCAGAAGGATGGAGCACCTCTTGTTAACCTCCTCTAGAGGAAATTGTCATTGCGGAAGGCAGATCGCA